TCTCTCTCTCTCTCTCTCTCTCTCTCTCTCTCTCTCTCTCTCTCTCTCTCTCTCTCTCTCTAGGGAGTTTGGCAGATTAAACCATGAGTACGTGGCCCATGCATTGGCTGCGGGCCCTTGTCGCATTCTCACCGCAACTTTTGGGCCTCCGGTACCGGAGGAAAGTAATTGGCAGCGCCAGCCAAAGGAAATCGGCACCGTTTTTTTTTTTTTTTTTAGCGCGCAGCACATTTCCAGCATTGGAGAAAAGTGCCTCGGAAGTACTGGTGGTTTACAGCACCAGTAACAAGGCTACCGGGCCAATATATATCAGCGGCAGGCCCAGCAGTTGATGTTTCGGCCTCTCCTGTGGCAACAAGTTTGGGACTGCAGGGCTGGGGCAACAAGTTTGAACATATTTGGGACGACGAACACAGCAGATGGAAAGCGCATGTGGAGCTGAGGGAGATCCTGAAGGGATGCCACAGCCGACAAGCCAACCTCAACGACATGCTGATCTCCATCCCAGAGTAGTGGGTGGGGGGGTGGGTGGGAAAGTATCAAAGGCCCAGCAAATGTTCCAGATGGAATTGGTCGTTGGTCGACAATGACAACACAGGCTGCGACGACGACCATAGCCTTCGCTTACATGACACAGGCAAGACCAGACGAACAGTGGCTTATATTCAATAGTGGCATGATATAAGAACCCACGGGGTTGGTGTTGAGTCAGGTCGCAAGACAGCAAGCCCCACATAGCCATAAGATAGGACCTGCTCCACCTGTTCCAAAAACCAGAGTGGTAGAAAACGACGACCGCACAGTCTGTGGTCCCCACAGTGGACATTCACAACCTGGAGGTGGGGCCACAGACCCTGAGGAGGTTAAACCTCCTCCTCGAATACACCACACGAGCCTGTAGTTCCACAGATCGTGGCGGACATCTGTAGCAGTGCTCGCATAATCACTGAGCGGGCTTGGCAGTTGGGCAGTGGGTAAGATCAGGCGTGGTGGGTCAGAGGTGAAACCTTGCCGAATACACCACGAGGCTGGGGTACCAATCGTGGTGGTGCACATCTGTAGCAGTGTACGGCATAATCACTCGGAAATGGGTGAAATACGTAAATATTAAAAGAGAAAAAAAACGTTTGGGCGGTGATGGCTCCCAGAATAGAAGGGGAGTGAAGTTGTTTTGTACCTCTCTGTTCTCTTGACTGGCTCGTGGGGGCAGTGCTGGCGATACGGAACACACACGGGTGAGAAGCATGCAGTGGCTGATGATTTACCTCGCTCTGCCGGCGGTGGTGGCTTAAACTGTCGCCGGAACCCGCAACACAGATCTCACCTCAATGACCAATGTGCCGTATGTGACACACGCCAGGCCGAAGATGTGACGCTTTGCTTGACAACATGTCTCAACAACCCGCCAAGTCTGGGGCGTAGTAGCAGCCCTAAGGCAAAGTGCGACAGGTGAACTCCTCCAGGACCAACCGCCACCGTCTTCCCCTGAACATAACGCACCCTGATAATGAATGTATACAAGCTATATTTCCGTCCATGTAGGCTGTGTTGTGTTCGGGGGAAGTCGGTAGTGATGCGTACGGGATTCGTGGCCCAGAGGCACCTGGAGAGATGTCAGCTCAAGCTGTTTGAAAGGATAAGACCCCTGGCACTCTGGAGGATATGGAGGAGACAATGCCCCAAGGAGGCAACACACAGGAAGCAGCCGCCGCTTCCCTAAGCATGGGAAGGGGTCCTTCCTCCTCCTGTTGGAAGCGGAGTATTGGGCGGACTGGGGAAAAAGTCAAGAGGGAGATGGGCGAAAATGCGCCGACAGAGTGGAGGGAGATGGACGAAAACGCGCCGACAGAGTGGAGGGAGATTGACGAAAATGCGCCGACAGAGTGGAGGAGAGATTTGGAACATCTCCTTCAACAAATCCCAATCCCTGGGGGCAGGCAGAGTCGGCAGGTCGAGGAGAGAGGACGCGGTTCTGGCAGTCTCAGGAGGGACCATCAAGAGCAGGAAACAAACAGGGGAGGGACTCACTGCACAGTCAAGTGAGCTCCACCAGTCTTAGTCTAGCGTCCCAGCTAGAGTGGCACAGCCAGTAGGGGTACCATGGGGCTCGGGTCCTGGAAGGGCTCCTCCCCCTGGGAAAGATGAAGAGGGGAATGTGAACCAAAACGCCAACAGAGCGCAGGAGATTCAGAACAACATCTTCAACAAATCCCCCTGAGGACAGGCAGAAACTAGTGTGGCACAGAGGGTTAGCGGTGGGGGTACCTCAGCGCTAGGAATCTGGAAGGAAACCTGAACAGGCAAACCGGGTAGTCGATCCTCCCAAGAGGGAGCGGCCAATGCCGTGCCAGGGATAGAACAGGACCACGGTGGACGCCTAGTTCTTAGTTTGCTCCTTCTTGTGGTTTACTGGTTTTTCAAAAACTATCAGCGTTTAGTGCATTGAACTAGCTTTCCGTGGGCGGCCCGGGCACCCCGCCCGGGGTACCCTGGGCATGCAAAAAAAACAGAGGTCTTTTGTTTTTTGACCTTGCTGCGCTTTGGGAGTAGTGCCCAAATCCGGTCTGTTTTTTTTTTTTTTCATGCATGTCAATTTCTCTGTGTTTGGGGGGGGGGGGGGGGGGTTAGGGCTTGCAGAGGGGACTGAATTATGGACTGTCCATTTGTGGGGTGGGGGATACAGCAGCTGCCACCTGTGCTGGAGCACCACGTCAGAGGGAGGAGGGAGGGTGAAGGAGCGCCATGTCAGAGGGAGGAGGGAGAAGCGCCATGCCAAAGGAGGGAGAGAGGATGGAGGAGCGCCATGTCAGAGGAAGGAGGGAGAAGGGAGGAGGGAGGGGGCAAGGTGATGAAGGGGACGAGAAGAGGGAGGAGCGCCACGTCAGAGGAGGAAGGGAGGAGTGAGGAGGAGAAGAAGAAGAAAAAGAAGAAACAAAGAAAGAGAAAAAGAAAAAGAAGAAACACAGAAAAAGAAGACAGAAGAAGAAGAAGAAGAAGAAGAAGAAGAAGAAACGAAGGAGAAGCCCAGGATTCAAATTCAAATCCTATCAGTATGCGCCATCAATCGATGCAGCTCGACGGTCAGAATCCACCCCCCAAAAAACCTACAAAATGGGGCCTACCGGACCCCACCAAAAAATGCGCCGACCGCCAAAGAAAAAGTTGACACGTTTACGGTGGGGTACCCCCGGCACCCGGGCTGGAAAGCTAGGCGTTGAAGCATTCTTGTGTTTACTTTTGCTTTGTGAATTTGTTTTTCGCTCATACCTGTTTGATATTGTATTGCGCATGATCACTCTCCTTTATATACCACTTAGCCACACGTGCGAGTGGGGTTTTGATCGCTTGACAACCCACGTTGTTTTTACTAAGCACTTCCCTGAGAATCGAACTTGGCATGGTTTTCAACTTTTCACAGTATTTTTCATATTTATTTATCTTGGATGAAATGTCTGGTAGTAGACACCAGCGGCATTCTTCTCTCAAGTTC